GAAAGTTCTTGGTATTTTATGAATAAATCTAGGAATAACAAAAAAAAGGAATGTCGGAGGCCGTGCTACATTGGAAAGGCGTTTGTGTTTTCATTTCGCAAATCAACAACAGCCCCGCCACGGTGGTCTAGTGGCTAAGGTACTCGGCTGCTGACCCGCAGGGTGCGGGTTCGAATCCCGGCTGCGGCGGCTGCATTTCCGATGGAGGCGGAAATGTTGTAGGCCCGTGTGCTCAGATTTGGGTGCACGTTAAAGAACCCCAGGTGGTCTAAATTTCCGGAGCCCTCCACTACGGCGTCTCTCATAATTATATAGTGGTTTTGGGACGTTAAACCCCACATATCAATCAATCAAATCAACAACAGGCAACAATTACACAGAAAAAAAGTCATGGCTGCAATTTCTTGCATGCTATTCATTTTAGGCAATGACCGTCAAGATAAGGCGAAGGTTGCATCATGTGCCGAATACGAGCTAAACGTCAGCATACTAACTCACGGTGCTGTGATTTGGCAAATAGTTTTCTCGTTCATTCTTCGATTATGTTTCAGCACATGCTCATGAATGGTGGCAAGTCGCGAACGTTGAAAGAATAAAGAAAGGGTGCATGCGATGCACTTTGAAGAAAATATTGTGATTACAGCAGAGAAATCTTGAACTGTATGTATTAAGCTTCTCAAAGACATGACTCGCGGTTTAGGGTAACCTTCAGCATTTTTGTGTGCATGGCATTCTTGCTAAGGTCATATATAGGCACGTGTTTCGATGGGAATGTTGAAGGTAGGTTGACAGGATAATGCTGCAGCGTTGTCTATTTATTATCAGCATTGCGTTAACATCACTTAGTAACGTTTCATCAACATTGATGGAAAGGAATGTCCACGCTTTGACAATTATCAATGTTGCAGCAACATGATTATAGGTTTTCAAAGGTTGCGCAGCAGAACACAACATTCGAAACATTGCTATACTGAAAGTTAGCGCTCGTGTCCTTCTTGTCTCTTTGTCGTCGTTCTGTTCTCGCGCTATAACTATCGTCATTGCTCTACTGTTGCAGCACCATCTTGTGCTACCAGGGTAATTCTCGGAAAGTCCGAAGCGGTGCTGAAGAGGGACCAACGCAGGACGACATTACCGGGTGCGTTGTGGACGTCACGATATCGGCGGCTCTGATCATTCTGCGTGTCGGCTAGTCGTCGTCGATCGACTTGGTATTGCCACCATACCCACGGCCTTTCGTTGTTGCCTCCTGACCGTTCTCTGACGTGTAGCTGAGTCCAATCAGCAGGAGTGTGTCGAAAGGCACCGCAGAGTCGCGGCCGAACAACACAAAATACAAAAAATAAAGAAAACCGAGTGGCATAATGTTGAAAATGTCACAATATTATGGCGCATTTTTCTTTTACCAAGCGACGCTTCCCGCATGTGATATGATTCACATGAAGTGCACATTCTTTGTTCCGCTATTGACAACTGCGAGGCCATCACGCTGGACCAGGACTAACGTTGCTTTAGCATCCTTTTCCAACGGAAATGATGAATTTTGTAAGTCAGTGGGTAAACGCCACGATGGAAAAAAAAGGAGCAAGTTTTGCTGTAAACACTCACATTTAGCATTCGCTGAACATGCACCAACGGCAACCCTGTACACTTAAGAAAGTGCTGCCATCTGGTAACGAAGAAAAAAAACAAATACCTGCAAACACCAGTGCTTCTTGTATAAAAATTTGTGGCGGGCACACCACCGTCGGGAGCCGTCAAACGCCACTTTGCTGCGTTGCCGCTAAGGGCGCTGAGTAAACAGGGTGCCGCTGCTGCCATTCCGTCCGGGTGTTGCGTGCAGCCTGTTCAGTGGTGCGCAACTTCGTTTTGTGGGACAGTTTTCGGCCAGTACGTGCGTAGAATGCTTTACGATGGCCTACTGCTGTGTTCCGCTGTGCAAATCAGACGAGAAAAAGAAACCGGCAGGGCTTTCCTTTCATGAACTACCTGCTGACGCAGACGCTCGAGCGCGCTGGCTCTCCGCAATGCGACGAGACAAGTGGTCGCCGAACAACACCTCAAGCTACACCAAAGTATGCAGTCGCCACTTCAAAGAAGAGTACTTCTTCGAAGGCAAGCGGCAACGCCTTAAGAATGGGCTGTGCCGTCAGTTTTCGAAGAATACCCGCCCCATCTCCAGCCGAAATCAACTCCGGCGCGAAATACAGCAAGCATCGACAAACGAGTGAGTGCTACATGGCGCGCAGCGACTCCGCGAGCGGCAACGTTGCTTCAGCAGTGGAGGATATGTCGGATTGTTGTGCTTCAAACATCTTCGGAGGCCAACTTGCGTGATCAAGGCGTCCAGGTAGCCAGCAGGTCAACTTCAATTAAGTATGCTTGTCGCAGAGAAAGCGAAGTGGAGAAGAAAAGAAAAGGAGTTGAGGAGCCAGCGGCTTCGGCTGGAACAGACCGTCGACAAGTACAAATGGAATTGAAAAAGCTGCACGAAGACGCCCTGGTTCTTCTTGATTGATCAGATTGAAAACTTCAAGAAGAAGAGGCCCAGCTGGTCTGAGGAGATAACCCGAGATTGTGTAGTTTTAAGGCATTTGTCGACAAGGGCGTACGAACACATCCGCGGTTAAATGCTTTTGAAGCTTCCTTGCAGAATGTCTTTTAGCAACTACTTGGGAACCACCAGTGTAGAAACAGGCCTCAGAAAACTCGCCGAAGCTCGCCTTAGAGTAGAAGCCGAAAGCTTGGCTGTACCACAGTCAAGGGTGTGTTCACTCATAGTCAACCAAATGAAGATCAGGGAAAAGCTACAGTACAACAAACAGCAGGACTGCTTTGTGTGGCACGCAGATGTCTCTTTGGAACAACATGGTGGGGACCTCACCTTAGCAAACTCCCTTCTCTGCTTGCTAATTACAGGACTCTCGACGTCGTATCACATTCCAGTGGCCTACTATGTGACCAAAGGGTTAACAGGCCCACAGCTTCATAAGTTGTTGATTTTTCTGCTTGAAAAAGTAGAAGCCTGTGGTTTCAGGGTATTTCGCTTAGTGAGTGATAACCATAGAGTGAACGTCAATGCCATGACACTTTTGAGCGGTGGTCTTCTTACGTACCGAATAGAACATCCTTGCGACTTCGACAGGCTCCTCTTTTTAAGTTTTCATCCATGCCACGTTTTAAAAAATGTGCGCTCGCAGTTTCTAGCCCACGACATTGGTCCGAAAGGAGAGGTCTTATCCTGCTACATCAAGAATCTCTACGACCTACAGAAGGACCTGGTTGTAAAGCCTGTCTGCTACCTCAGCCGAAAACATGTCTGTCCGAATAACATAGAAAAAACGAATGTCGCAAGGGCAATTCAGGTCTTCTCGCCTGATGTAACTTCAGCCCTGGAGCATCTCAGAGACCAAGCTGGGCATACATCGAGTGTAGCATTCGCAGCTGCAGGCCAGACCATCATTTTCATGCAAAACATCCATCGTTGGTTCGTGCTGCATGATACAAGCAATACGACCCAGCACATCCACAAGAAATGGCCTGACACTCGGCAATTTGACGATGCTGAAGATGCAAGACTGGAGTGGCTCGAGGTCACGCTGCCCGTGTACTTGGCTGAACTGGAAGAAAGCTGTCGAAGTCAAAAGGAATTTTTAACAAAAGAAACGTATGAGGCATTCCTCCTGACCACATATTCCACAGTTGCCTGTATCAAGTACCTACTCCAAGAGGAGAAGTTCTTGTTTGTGCTCACTCGTAAGTTTAATAGTGACCCCATTGAGTCGCTGTTTGGAACACTGCGGATGTCCTCTGGCTGCAATGACATGCTGAATGTTCGTTCTGTTTTGCAAGGGCTAGAGAAAGTTTTAAAAACTGGACTTGCCGCATCCAGCATGGCATCAAACGTTGCACGCAGAAAATGTGCCCTAATGTCAACAGGCACTTTGCTCGCTGAAGCTTCGCTTTCGCTAGCACAGCAGCCGCCTCAGCTACAGAGAGCTACATGTGCTTTGCAACGGATCAACGCAACAGTTTTGCCTCAGCACTTGCCGTCACTTGAGATTTCTGCAACTGTTTATGTTGGGGGCTATATTGCCCGCGTCATAAACGAGCACATGCGTTGTGGAAGTTGCACTGCAGTCTGCACAAAGCCAGCGAGCAATCAACCTATCTTGCAGTTCACTCGCAGCCAGGACCGAGGTGGACTACTTTACCCGTCAGACCAGTTGACGTGCTGAGGGCATTTGCGGATCATGCTCTGAAAGACAATCCGACTCTAAAAAAGTCATTTTCTACCCTGTTTAAGTAGGCTGTACCAGCACTGTGTGCTTCAAACCTGCTCAAGTGCAAGGAGATGGATGACACTCACAGAGCTAAGCTCATGGAGCTGATATCTGTTCAGTTTTTGCGGCCTCTGCTGGTGAACTATGCATTCACTGTCAGTGACAAGCATGGTGCTTTCAAGTACGTCGCGAAAAAGCCCTTGTCAAGAAAATATGCAAAACTGTGAGGCTACCGAAAATAGAGGTACTTACAAATAAATGTTCCTTCTTTATGCAAAATGTATTCGTATCGCATCAATTGGGTTCATTTTGCAGAATATAGAGCTGCTATGCATGGCAAGTCAACGTTGGAAATTCATGTACATCATGTCCAAGCATGTAGGTGTGTGCGTACGCGGCATGTTTTTACAATTCATTTAGCGAGGCGTTCTTCGCTTGCGGCTAGTACGTGAAAGCTGGCAACCAGATCTATGAAACACTCGGTGACATATTTCAGCGATTACAGCCGCGATATATTGAGGTTTCAGCGCAGAACATTAAGGATTTATTATGTTTATTTTGAGCGCGGAGCCAGAACCACGGCGGTTGCGGCACGTAACGAACTCCGGCACCCTGTTTAGGCGGCGGCACCTGGTGGCGAGATGCTGCACTCGCGCCGACGGAGTAGTCTCATTGTTCTCTTCCGCTTTTACCGGGCACTGAAAGTTATAAAGGAGGCACTGCATACACATTCAGTCGCATTTGCGTTGCCGCCATTCGCTCAATCTGTTTTCTGTCGTCCTCCAAAGGTAAGATATTTGTTTCGTATTCGTGTCAAACAACTCTACTGTGACACACGGGTACTCTGCCGTCGTTTAGCAATAAATTGATTAGGTGAATACTGTTGAGCAGGTGCCGGAGAGCCTTGCGGATCGCCGTGAAGTCGCCTAGTAAATCGTGCTCTTGTTAGATGTTTGGAGTGAACGTGTTCGTTATTTTGAGAGGTTATATTATTGCGTTTTCAGGCCGCAATTTCCACGCCGTTATTGAATTCTCCGGTGCATCATTATTACGTCACAATACCGTGTAATTGATGTCTTTGGTGAGCTTGTGCCGTTGAAAATGTCTTCCATGCTTATTTTCAATCGTGAAGCCTTGTCGCTCACTCGTTGCGTGCGTTCACTTACTCGATATCTTACTTCAATTACTCAGAATCACTGAGTTTGGTGCATGACATCTGTATTTCAAAAGCCGACAACTTCCGAATGTTACTGGCAGCAACACGAGGGCCGTGAGCTGAGACATTCCCACTGTGAAGAAAATAGAAAACGTTGAAATTTATAGGGAATACCTTCGTCACTTTAGTATGCGTGTAATCGAGAAGTTTAATAGGTAACGAGGCTTATTAAAAGAGCACTGGCTTCAACACTGACTGACTGAAACACATGCTTCAACACTCATTGACTGACTGACTGTTACAGTGATGAAATGCGCTGATAGTACTTGCGTGTGGTTGTTCCATTCAGTTCTCGAACCCGGGTTGCGTGAACCATTTTACGAATTCTTGTGAATAGACCTCTACCGGGGTACGTTACAGCGTGACGTCACCGATGCACGTGCAAGGCGGTGGTTGGCAAAACACTCCCGCCAGTGGCTGAGTGGGGTGCTGTTGCTCGGTACTTGGGGCATTGTTTTTTCTTTTTTAGAGCTTAATGTTAATCTCACAGTGGCAACATTAGCTGTGGCATGTGTCAGAGAACGTCTAGGTGTGTGATAAAGTGCGTGATGAAATAAATATTCCCCCCCCCCCCCCCCCCGTTGGCTGGCTGTTTATCTACGAGAACTGAACACATGTGGCGGCCTGTGCGAGGAACAGCGGCATCTTCTTTGAAAGTGTGCAGTGTTGACTGTGGCATGTAGTGTGTGTTGAAAGGCATCGGCAATATTGATTCATCTTCACGGACGGTAAAAGTGGGAATATTGTGCATGGTGTGTGCAGTGAGAATAATGCGATGCGTCCTGTTGGCGAAAACACTAGTATTCGTTCTGGGCCGGTTTTAGTAACCGATTGTCGATGGAACTTTACGACCTAACATTGTAGTCAAGGTAAAAATACATTGGATGCGATCATCTGTGAGTAGGTACATCGCAGCTTATGCGCGGCGTGCGCAAAAATAAAGATGCATGATCTCCTGGTGATATATACGACTACGCATGAGCTATAAGCATGTTGTAGCGTTGCCGAATCTGCATATATGCTTCACCACGGCTATAACTCGTAATATCGGATACCTTATACGTGTTAATTGAAACAGCAGAGATTTTGGTTTCTTATCTACTTTGTACTTATACGGCTCGATCCTTATAAAGTGACAATGCACGTTAGAAGTTTGTGTATCAGGCCTAAAAGAGCGATAGGTACGAACACACGTTATAGGTGGCAAATGCAGCAAGGTAACGGTGCCAGATAATATCATACAATATTAGGATGTGGGGTTTTACATCACATAAATTTTCACTGGGTTATTGAGAAACGCAGCGGTAGAACTTCACTTTGATTTTCACCAGGATATGTTAACCTCAGCCTAACCCACGGCAAGAATTTTTTTTTTCATTGATTTCCGATGAGACTTTTGGGCAATGAGTGGGAATCTTATCCGAGATGTCGTGCACAACAGCTCAAAACGATGCTGCCGCCAATGCTGTACCTCGTTTAAAACTGCATTGCACGTGCCACAATGGAAATTGAGTAAGTTTACATCCACGTCATGCAAATATTTCTCAAAGTGCCAGTAATTGTGTACATTCAAAACGTTCGCTGTCGAAAAAGATCAGATTTTTTATGTATGGCTGCCATCTACGTGGGTGAAGCCCACTGCCTACTAGTCGCATCTGTGAATACTCTAAACAAAGTTTCTCCATCCATCTGACTACGATGAGCAAATTCCCACACTATGAGCAGTGACCCTTCCGCGACGCCCTTCTTTCAAAAGCTGTGACGTTAGAACATGGCAATGTAGAAATTTCTGTCCAAAGAATGCAGACACGCAGCTCTGCTATGCATAAAGCGGGCGACACATGGTGCGAATTTGGATGCGAATCGCTGTACGGCGCACCGCAGTCCGATTTACCACATGCGACGTTTTGGGACACATGGTATGGCGCCTTCAAAATTTTAAGCTCCGCCTATATCATTGTTGCTTGCCCGCTATTATTTTTCTTCCTAATTGGCGTCCACATCATGTCTCAAAAAACTCACTTATTTCTGTTTTAAAACAATACTTGCATTTATAAAAAGTGACTTTTTCTAACTGAATATGTAAAGTGGTGATAAACAATATTTAACAAACACAAAATATCTATCCTCTAAGTTTGGAAGACTGCGTGATGAAGTGCTGGCAACGGCGATCGAAACGAGCAACAACTTACAACGCAAACGGTAGGCTGCTGGCGTGTTGCATAGTGTGTTGTTGTAGTGCTAAGTGTACTTGTGCTGTTCGTTGAAAGACGCGCAATGTTGCACCTGGGCCGCCGCAGAAGGCTACTGCTATGAAAGAAAAAAGTGCTCTTGATTCAAAAGCAGCGAAGGGAAAAAAGACGCAGCTGGTGGGTGAGGCCTTCATGGACAAAGCGTCACTCCGGGAGCGAGTTTTTTACGACGGTAAGTAGCATTTCTATTTATTCGGTGGTCATAAAAGCGTGTCATTGAGTGATAACAGTGTTATTTTCTTACGCAATGGTGTGATGATATTCTGAACAGCTTTAATGTAGTGCGAAAGGACACAGGTACGCGAAGAGGCACTTATGGCAACGTATTATGAACACTAAATTTTTCTGGACCATGTACTCTTCAAAAGCATGCTGTCTACTTCTACTCAGAATACACCTTTCATTAGTTTCATTGATTTGAATAATTCGCCATATACTTGCGCACTTGTCTCTTTCTCGTAAACCACCACCACCACCACCACCCATTTCTTCCTTGCCGACTTTTCCCTGCAACCACCCACCATCTGTCGTTGCCGAAAGCACCCCAATGAAGTAAAAGATATAATCTGCCGCTGTAAACACCACGCCAAATGTTTCGTTCTGCGCACAGCGAGAAATTAAAACCAGCTGCCACCACACACCACTGCATGGACTAACATAAATATATTTCAAGACCCTGTCCATGATAACTTTAAATCCAGCACTTGCAATATATATTGTATTTCTCATGCAACATATAAATGATTATGTTTATTTCTGGCATATTGTTCAGTTACAGTTATTCTTGAAGTTTGTCTCAGTGACTCCAAAACTTCAGTTGCATCAGAAAATTTTCTGGATTAGCTGAAAAGCATTTCTTTCTTCCCCAGATGCAGCGAATGCGGCAAGGCGACACCGAATTATCATAAGTATTATCAGATGCTGCCACATCAATTTGATTTCATTCTTCAGCTTCTCCAAAAAGACCTTGAAAGGAAGCATGCTGTTAGGGAGCCAGTAAGTCCTGCTGAGCGACTGGCCATGACACTCAGGTAATATGGTGATATGTGTACGTTTGTTTTTCCCTGTGATTATTTTACTTTTTCATACAACTGTTACGTTGTTTTGCACAATGCAACCCATACCCCCAACTATGTGTTACACCGTGCCTTTCCGAATTCCATCACCAATTTTGATCAGGTGGGACCCACACAATACAGCCATGTATATTTATTAGTTTCTACATGCGCCAGTGTTTTAAAGATGTTTACTGTATACTCTTACTGAAGAAAAATACATTTGTATTGTAGATACCTTTCATCTGGAGATCTCATCCAGGATATTGCACTTGCTTTCAGAGTTGGCATATCTACGGCACGCATGGCTGTGAAGGTCACGTGCCATGCTCTTTGGATAAGGCTTCAGCCACTGTACATGCCCGTGAGTATACTTTTTGGCACACTATTTGCAGGTATTGCTTAGCGATCCTGCACAGTGTGCATCAGGCTTCAGGTTGAGCCTCATAGTTTCTCATTTGGTCTGTACATTCGCTATTCAACTTTCATGCCATCCTTCAGTGCAGTGAGGCCATCTCATGCCACTTTGAATGGTTCCATGCTCAGTGGCCGTTAGGGAAGGCTTATTTAGTGCTTGTGCAGCGTTTACTCTGCATAGTTTGTGTCGGTTACAGTCATGCGTAGCCCACTTATGACCCTGACTGAGCACGTCGCCTCACTTCTGGCCTGGGCTGGTTGGAAAATTATTGAAAAAGAAACATTTCTTTTTCTCTCTCCTTTTGTTCCCTGGTAAGCGACGCAGTCAACTCATTTTCTGAAAGCGTTGACAGCACATCGCAGAGCATGCCGTCGCAAGAGAGAGCTATTTTCAGCCCACATTGCAGCCAGATTCCATTGGTGTATCTGATATTGTGGCAGTGGAGCATATTAATAAGTGCTTATTTTTCTATAAAAAGCATACAAAAGTGAACATTGCCATTCCTGTTTTTTAGTTATATTTGATATATTGCTATAAACAGTGTCTTAACAAGTGGATGTGCTTTCTGGAGGAGCTGCCGCAAAGTTGGATACTTAAACAGTTTGATTTCCATTGCAACGAAAAACATAAATGTGATGAAAGACGGTAGAGAGTTGCGAAAAAAAAAAAGACAGTGCCAGCGAACTGATTTATTAAGAAATATTTACAATCTCATTGCACTCTGCTTTTAATTTAATGCAATGCACCAGCTTGCCCAGCAATGCATTTTAAGGTAGACAGGCCCTTTAAGAGATGACGTCCTAATGCTCATGAGAAACCAAAAGTGTAATACTGCATTTAAACTTTG